AGACCAGGAGGACAATGCTGTGACACCACCTTGGCAGCACATCAGGGGATGACACCCACACAGGAGCGCACTCGCCAGCTGAGCTGCACTGTCAGTTTGGACTAATGTTAATGCGCCTGTCCCAAACAGAAGGTACTATAGAGTGACCGTGCACACTGGAGTGCCGCCCAAGTCCTATAGAACCCGTCCCTAGCTTCTTCCTACATTATCCATACCTGACTCTGAAAATCCTAAGAAAAGAGAGAGCTCAATTACGGGTCTTTACTGTACCCTGTATAAAATTTAATCCAGAACACTGGGATAGGGGGATGGAGCCAAGTAGGAGAGCTAGTGATACTGATAGCTACTGCTCCGCCCCTACTCCTGCCTCCAGAGCAGGTACCCAGGACCTGTGGATCTCGAGAAAGATGATCAGCCCAGGGAAAGCAGGAATCTAAGAGACCCCCACCAGCAGTCTCCAGGGCCCAGTCAGGACTGGGCTGAGCGCACGCCTTCCTAACCCTGGCTCTCTGTTCCTCATTTAGCAGCCACTGATCCCTCCTCTAGCCTGGGCAGGTCCAGCAATCACTTCACTGCAGGGGGAGAGTGGGAAAGCCTAGACTCCAGCTGCCCTTAACTACCACCCCATGGTAATACAGAATTCCATACAAACACCAGGTTCTGCCAACAACTCCTACCCCAAACCCAAAGGACAAGCCTGGAAATGCCCAAAATGGAAATGAGAGTGTGGGTGCCCAGCCTTCCCGGGAGCCTCAGTTCATTCCATGAAGCTCAAGAGGTATGTGAACGACTCCACACCGAGGGAGGAGGGCTGCTCATACACTGGACCCAACAGTAGTTTCTACTCTAGTGCTTTGTTGGAGAGACTTTTCTCTGCTTGGCATAGGGATCTGAAAAACCCATATTTATCTAGTAGGAAAATAAAACTTTYATTCCTTGACCACAAATCATCTCACAGATCCAGGAAGAATGATAAACTGAAGAGAAGCTAAAATCTGAAACCTGTTCAGTATAATCCACCTGTTCGGTGTCATCTCAGGTGTATGACCCCTAAGAATTGCTGGGCATCTCAAGAGGCACTCAAGTGGACAGTCAGTGCCTGCAGACCCTGCAGCTACTGCAGAGGAAGGGCTGTCTTCACCACTCATGGCTGGTCAAGAGGAGCAGGGCTCCCAAGCAAAGGGCTTCACGACCAAAGTGTCTTGTCTCTTTGATRGACACAGGGACTTGCTGGTGGCTACCTCAGATACTTGCCCACAGTGGAAGAGTCACTTCCTTGGTAAATGATAACTATCCCATGTGAGTGTATGGTTTTTTTAGTTGTTTTGTTGTTGTTGTTGTTCTTTTTTGTAATAAGGCACTTAATCACTGAGCCACATCCCCAGCCTTTTTATTCTTTATTTTGAGACAGAGTCTCGCTAAGTTGCTGAGGCTAGCCTGAAACATGAGATCCTTCTGCCTCAGCCTCCASAGTCGCTGGGGTTATAGGCTTGTGCCACCATCACCGTGCTCAGCATGAACTTGTTTTTAAGCCATCAGAAAAATGAAACTCACCCGAGCAGAAGCATGAGGCCTTCTGCTCCTGCTTTTGAAGAAAGAAGACCTAGTGAGGGGGCTTCTTCCTGTTGGCCACAACCCCCAAGWGTTTGTTGGACAAACTCTTAAAAGGATAAGTTCTTCACTGTATACGCCCAGCTTTATGAGCTCCTACTCCCAGCTCCCAATAAAACTTTTGCTTGAGGCTCATGATGAAATGAGGGAGGTTTTACTGCAGAATTTTCAGCTGAAACAACAGTTGGCATTTTTCCTTCAATCTTCTGCAGAACACAAATTTATGTACCTAAAGGTAATAAGGCAAAGTCTTAAATTTAACAGAAGAAATATTTTACCAGTGGTAAACTGATAAATTATTTAGAAAAGGGCTCAATCAGCCAGGCAAGGAAATCAGGGCCAGATAGAGTCTGGCAGCCTTCCAAAATAAATATAATCGCTATGGTTCCTCTAAATTTCTTCCTGAACCCAAATCATCCTTATCAAAAATATCTAATTTTGATATTCACAGCTAAAAATRTAAGAGGAAAGAAGTCTGAGCATCCCAGAACAAGTAAGGAAATCATTYATCTGCAGGGCAATGCCCAGGGGCACTAGGAGGCTGCCCGGTATGTCTCCTGCACCTCCTGGATAGGAGCTGTGTTGAGGTCAACAGGCCCCCTCTCTACTCCCACCCACGGCAGTGTGGAGGCGGGCACCAATTTCAGCAAACATTAATGAAAATGACCTTATTGCAAATTGCCCGACCTTTGTGAGTCTTGCAATAAAGCACAGAGAAAGAGAAAACCAGATCTATGGGTCTTTACATCAAAGGTTTAGGAAATTTAATAACGTCCCCATTGTTTTTTTGCAGATGGCACATCAACCTCTCTTTATTACTGCAGAAACTCAAAAGCCCTGCAGAGTACAATAAAGCAGTGCGTGTTTAGCTTTGCAATGTTTCAAAGGACCCTGATTTACACTGGGATCAAACACCTTGTGCCCCATGCAGGAGCCTGGTAATCACCTCCTGTCTGGTGCAACCCTGTCAGGCAACAGGAGCAGCACTGATGGATGCCAGGCCGGCCTTACTCTCTTCTGCAACCCACATGAAATCCTATGAATGGAAGAGTGTGCCTCSTGCAGCAGGGCAGGCACTGTCCTCACCAAGTGCTTGTGGCACAGCCCCATGTTTCACACCTGACAAAGGGGACTTCAACCTTAAGCTTGTTTCTGAAATAGACAGGTGTGAAAACGGTTTGTAGTGGGAAATTTTAGAACATTTTTAGCATATTTACAAACAAATGCTAAATAGTAAGTATGCACGGATGTGCTTTGGCTTGCTGAATGCAGGAATGGATGCAGGGAAAACCCTACTTGGTTGGTACGCACAGCTTTTTGCTAGGCTGCAGCCAATACTTCATTCAGATTCCACTTTTTGAACCAACCCTGGAGGAATCCCACCTGCAACTGAAACCTCTTTCTAAACATTCTAAAATCTTGAAATAGCCTCCATCTTACTGACCCTTCAAACTCTCGCTTTTTCAGAAAACCAGATTGCAGCTCCAACAGAGCTGCTCACTTGAGCCAATTTCCCACCTGAGGACCTCACCCTCTAGACCTGCGTCCACTGTCCCAGAATGGCTATGCCGCTATCCCATCTGACATGTGATTCCACATGCTATCTCTSTCCAGCATCCCTTCTATACACAGTGTGCCCTGTCTCACACCACAAGGCCTCCTCCAAATGCCAGGGAAGAAAGTTGCTCTTAGAAACTCAGAATTAAAAATAACAATAGGTCCTCCTCTAGAAGATTCCATTTGCCAGCTGGACCATCTGACACCTGCCAAGCTAAACTAATGATAAGGCTAGCAGTAATCAACTCTTAGCAGTCCAAAACACTGTGGATCATACCAAATTAAATAAACATTGACATCCTGAAATATCAAACATGTATGTTACGAAAACCACCTTTTCTTGTGAAGTAAGCCTTTAAAAGAAAGTAATAAAAACAACAAAGAACAATGGGAAGACCTGACTGTATCTGGTTACATAGATCCAAAATTACACTCTATCTTAAACAAATATACCCAGCAAAACTCAATCACAGAAAGTCAAAACCAGGAGCTAACAGAAGCAGCTGAGTTAGAAAGGGCTTTCTTTACATTCATACAATGCTAGCAGCTTCCAACATTGGTTCTGACCCACTCTCCCTCAAGTGCAGTCTCATCTTGCTGAGATCCTCCGAGAAGCTTTTCTCACTGAAATACTAAGCATCTCAACTATCTTTAAAGGAATGCACACCATTGAAATCCCTCCTGTCCTCATCCAACCCCTAAAATGGGCTATATTCTCAAGAAAAGGACTATAGAATTTCTCTAGAAACCATCAAGAGGCAACWGATTTGAGAGAGAAGAAAGCAAACGCTTTAGGCACATATCAAAATAAGCACTGAGAATCTGCCTTCTGAAAAATAAAGGTCCATTATTATTGACTTGACCACAGGAAATGCAAAGCACAAAGGCATAGGACTGTTTGCTAATAATGAGACACCTGGCCACCAGAGCTAGAGCAGGAATGACAGCAGGCCCTGTTATTTGAAGAATGTGAATGGTAGATAAGAAACCCCTAAATTCCAGATTTGTGGAATAAACATCCACCAATCAAAGACATAGCAGGCAAGTGTTAAGCAGGCTCTATAAGTCCATTGTTTCCAGGAGGCTCACAGCCCCCGACCTAGGAGGGTGGGTTTGAAACCCAGTTGGGGTGCACAGCCAGGCCCCCTTCTTCCCAACACTCCTGGCAGGTGATTCCAGAATCACGCCCTGCCATAAGCATCCCAAGTTTCTGATTTCCTAAGAAGTTTATGAAGTCCTCAAACCAGTTAATGAGAAAGGACAAAGAAATAGGTCTTTGGGTAGTTTACAAATAACCACGATCTTAAAGGCAATTAAACACAGTTACATTCTGTGCTGCTTTTCTTTAAAAAGAAAAAACCTGTAAGATATAAGCAACTAAAACACACTAATTGGTAGCTAGCTTCCTAAAGAGCCTGCCTTCTGAATCAAAGACTAAGCATATGATAGGTGTCAGCCTTTAACGTTGGGTGCTTTTTCCTCCTATCTAAAAACTAAAGACTGGAAGGATAGCGCTACCTGGTTACGGAAACTACATTTCCTGTGTAAAATAAAAACCTTGATTTAATAGTMGTATAAAGGATATTTTCTCTTCTAAATATTTAGGGGAGGGGGATTACACAAAATAGTCTACCCCAAGCATGACTCAGCGACATGTGCGCCGCCGCCATCAGAAACCACACCAAAGCACACCAGCGGGCAACAGTGCCAGGCAGGCCTGCAAGGAGGTGCCGTCCCTGGAGAGTCTTGCTTGGATTCAAAGATGGCTTGAGACCAAGCAATTGAAGTTTCCTTGTAAGAAAGAAAAGGAAGAACAAATACAGCAGACTTACCCTCGGCTGCCAGTTCTCATACTGCTTCTGTAAATTTGCACCGATGGTTTCCAGAGCTTTCTGAGGACCCATTGACAAAGGATCTGCGGGAGCAATGAAAAGGAGAAAGTTCTTTAACAGGCATTTCCTCTGCTGCCAAAACTTCCCTCCCCAGAGCATCCTCTTCCCACAGTTCACTTCAAAGTCACCACTACAGCCTCAGGTCTATCAGCCAGCATTCATGGAACTGCGAGTGTGCCCAAACAGGCTTGCTACCATGCTCACAAAAACACCRTTATTAAAATCACCGGCACAGTGCTTGCTCTCCTCCAGCCCTGCTGGCCTGTGTCCCTGCACCTGCTGCTTTCTGGTACTCCCTTTGTCCTACTCTCCTGCTCCTGTCCAGGATCTGTCATATAAGGTCTGGGTTGCACCTTTATCAGGACAGAGACCTACACAAAGGAGTCCTCCAGGGACAGCACAAACTCAGACCACAGCTCTCTGGTGTGCAGGGACAGAAGAAAGAAAAAAAAAAAAAACGAGTAAAGGGGTGGCACATTCTAATAATTTCCATCTGTACTCTTGAGTTCTCCCACAAAACCCAGCCTTGCACACACACATACATCTGTGCCTCGCTGCTTCCTTCCCGAGTGGCTTCTGGCACTAGGAACTCCAAGCCTGTGGCTCTCAAACTTGTCTGTGACTGAAGACCCCAAAGACCCTTTGTTTATGTGGCTGCTTCTTTCAGTGTTTACTGTACTAGAAAGTAAGATGAGAAAATTTTTCCTATTTCTTTATTCATTTTTCAAAGACAGTACAAACCCACTATATTTTAACTTGAATATTTCTGATGAAAAAACCATGGTTTCTCAAAAACCATTTAGTAAGAAGTGGCACAGCACATTTCACAAGGTTCTTTAGGGCCGAGTTTACCAGGCGGCAGCTGGCTCTCCTGGCAGGTTCTGCATTTGCCCGCATCTTCCCACGGCCCCACCTCACAGGAGTCACCACTAGAATAGGGGGGATCCTAGCTTAGCTAGGCAGGCTTTCCTCTGACACTACTCCAGGGGCGGTAGCCTCTGTGAGATCATGTGTGAGGCAAAGTCATGGCAGTGGGTATCTAGTGGCCACCTCTTCCAGACGACTCTGCATCACCGGGCACTGTCCACCTGAAAAACATGGGCTCACTGTGCAGCACACCTTACTCACTCCCTTCTCTGATATTTTCAAATACCACCTTCAATGATTCCTCACATCTCACCAGAAGTCCTCCAAGACTGAGAAGCCACCAACTCACAGTGGCAAACACCAGTTTTCAAATTCCAATTTTTTTTTTTATTTCACTTGTTTATTTATTTATTTTTTAATGTGGTGCTGAGGATCGAACCCAGGGTCTCGCACGTATAGGCGAGCACTTTACCACTGAGCCATAACCCCAGCCCCAAATTCCAAATTTTTTTGTTTTAAAACTTTAAAATTTATCACTAACAATAAATAATAACATTTGGTCTACTTAATGTGACAGGCTCATTGCATTCAGAAATGCCTCCTTCAGTTGAACACCGCAGGCCAGGAAGGGCACTCACGGCTGCCCCTGCAGCAGCTCCAACACCCACAGCTGCGCTTCCAGAGACGCCCAATTCAGCACGGTAAGTTATGGAAAGCACACATTTGACAGATGAACTTTAACAAAACTAATATGTTTTTCTGCTTTATCAAGGGCAATCTTCATTAAAAACTGATTTTTTTTTTTTTTTTTTTTACTTGCAAATGACTAGCAGCAAACAAAATGACAGCAAAGAATTGCTGACCCTGCTGGCTCCAGTGGTCTTTACCCTCAGGGCCTTTCTAGCCACTGCAATCTGTCATAGGGGACAAGAACATGATTACATTATACAGTAGGTCTCATCTCAGAGACCCACTTTGTGAATGACTGCAAGTTTGTTTTCAACAGAGATTCTGGTTGCAAATTTGAAAGCAATCTTTCAAGGGAACAGATCAGACTGCTAGACAAGGAGAACGCTCCTCTCCTGAGAGACTCCTTCCATAGGTGATCTGGGCTCCCTCAGAAACCAAATTCATCATTGCCCACCCTCGTGTGTTCAATCTCTCCCACAGCAGAGCCCCCATGGGCTCCGACTCAATTATGCACACTGCATTCAGAAATGTCTCCTTCAGGTGAACACCGCAGGCTTGGACAGTCAGAGTGTAACAAGACCTCAAAGCACCAAGCAGCTGTCCCCTCGCGCACCCTCAGAAGCAACCACTTCACTCCAGCAACCAGGGCCTCTGACAGGGCCTCTGACAGGGCCTCCATCCTCCTAACCCTTCTACACTCTCTGATCGTAGCAGTGGACAGGACTCTTCCCTCTTGCATACGTACCCCGACATCCCCTGCCCCTGTTCTTCCAAAGTAGCTACACCACACACACAGCAAAGTCACGCTCTGCACTCTATGGGGCGACCCACAGGTTCCATGCCGAGCCCGGGGGCATATACCACAGCTCTGCCCAACTCCCCTCCCAAGCAGCACCTTCCCCACCTTTCCTTCAGCTAGCCTTTCCCCCTTCTTGGCCACCTGCTGTAAAACCCCACAGAATGAGAGATTCCTCTTTGTGCAAAGTAAATGGCTCCCAAGAGGGGAGCCTGCAGGAACCTGTGGGCAGCAGCAAAAGGACTGGCACCCTGTTGTCATGTCCTCACAGTCACAGGCTGAAAGCTTCAATAGCTTAAAACTCCCCACATTTGCCCAAAGAAGCTCAGTGAGCCATAGACAGGATAAACCCAAAGGCATCCACATCTGGACAGGCCACAACTACACTGATAAAACTAGCCACAAAGAAAGAGCCCAGGAGAAAATCAGATCACAAACTAAGGGTCAAGAGTTAGGAGAGCTCTGGACTGCCTAATAAAACTGGAAGCCAGTCAAAACAGGGCAATGCCTTCAAAATTCTCCAAGAAAGCAATTCCATTCAATTCTGAGGTAGTAAAACAGAGGTCTTTTCAGACATGCAAACATGCAGAGTCTGTGTGTCACATTTCTTAGAAAGTAAACCATAAAAGAAAATAACAAGGACTCCAGAAAATGTGTGTGTGTGGGGGGGAATTAAGAAGAGCTGTGTCCCTTACAACAGGTCTGGAGACCAAGCAGTCCAACAGGAGCAAGAGGAGAGGTTAAAAAACAAAACTAATAGATATTTGAACACTGGAAAAATTATTGTAACATCTGACAGACGAACTGTCATACATGTAAAAAACAAAATAAACTCATTACAGGTTCACAGAAAAACTGGCAATAACAAATTACTAGCAAATTGGTGATTACATGGAAAAATCATATACAAAGAACCAGACGCCACTGGAGAAGGGCAGGACACAAATATTTTTAATCACAGCATTCCGTACCATTTACTTGCATTACTTTGATAAAAAATAAAAATAGGAACTAATGATAACATCACAGGCCAGGACAGTACAACTGGAGGCACCTCCTCTAGGGAACATTTGAGGCATCCAGGACATCTCCAAGCTGAGGCACCAGGCCCTCCCCTCTATGACCTCCAGTTCACAGCTCAGGAGAGCAGCTCTGCTTGAGGGAAACTGGGTAGAAGCCAGGCTCTAGCACCTGCAGTAGAAGAACCGCAGTAACATGCTATAATCAACAAGAAAGAAGATGCTAATTTTCATTTCTCTTTGTTCTACARAACAGAGGTCTAAGACTGCAGCACAATTATAACAACCCCAACCAAGTCAGCTGAAACCTGAACAACAGAACTGGTGAGGGACGGGATCTGAAAAATGAAAATTAGGGGCTACCTAAGCACATAAACAAAGGAAGGGGAGCAGAACATAGTTTTAACAACAGAAGCATTTAAAGAGCAGGGCCTGTGCATGCATGATGGATAGTGCATCACACAAAGCTGGCTAGGAAGCCCGATCCCCTCCTACCGTGCAGGGAGGGTGTGGCCAGCAGCTCACAGCCCCAACAGTGGTAAAGGGAACAGGCCAGGCACAAGAGCCAAGCCTGTAATCCCAGCAACTCAGGAGGCTGAGGCAGGAGGAAGACAAGTTTGAAGCCAGCCAAGCAACAACTTATTGAGATATTATCTAAAAAATAAAGAGAATGGGGATGTGGCTCAGTGATAAAGCACCCCTGGGCTCAATCCCCAACACCAAAAAAAAAAAAAAAAAGTTCTTTGTAGGAAGAAACAGGTGTGGGTACTATTTTTCATGCTTTTAGTCTCTGAATTTCCTAATTTCTTAAAATGCCCTACACATTACTCTTATAATAAATTTTGAGGGGGGAGAGGGAGGGAGGGAGGGAGGGAGGGAGGGAGGGAGGGATAGGGGTGTGCCCAGGCTCACCTGTGCCAGCGGCATTCACTACACACTGCACTTCCTGCATACACTCTTCTGATGAACCACTTCACAGGGAGGGAGTGCCTTAGGTCCACCTGTCCTAGAAAGGACTGGAACTACCCCTCCCCATTGAACTTCACCCTGGGAGGTGAAGGCCCTTCTCCCCCACCACCCTCCGCATGTGGGCACAGAGGAGCTGAGGTCATCCTTCTGGGTGCGCCTCACAGCACCCAGCAGAATCTCCTCCTAGAGGAGGCAGCCTGACAGTGGGACTGCTCCCACTCCAGGCCTGGGATCAGGACACCTTTGGATCCAGGGGGAGGGCCAACAAAGTGGGCTATCGCCTTAATCTACTGGGAATTCCTGCAGTCAAATTGATGGCCTCCCCCCAAGAATATGATGATGAGTGGGAGAGGGGAAGAAGTGTGAGGGAGAAGGCAAGAGCAGGGAAGGAGCGTGACGGAAATGATGCGTTGAACACTTCAGAGACGATTCCCATACACTGAAGCCTATATTCCTGTGGGATGGGGAAGACAGATTTAAAACAGTAGCTGTTTTAGCCCCTACCTTCCAACACCTTCTTGGTCTCTATTTTGTTTTGTGGGGAAGCTGGGAAGGCTCTGAAGAGTGAGAGTAAATCAATGAACGTGTGGTGGGTAGGAAGCAGATGTGTCACCTGGCATATAACTTTTCACTTTTTAAAAWTTTTCCTACCTGCACGATTTTCAGCATAACCCCTTTGTAT